CAACAAGAGTTGCTCACCCGTAGAGTCGACACCCAGAGCATTCTCCCCCCGGTGGCCACGCTAGGGGCGCTCTGGTGTTGTAACTCTATCCCCCCCGCTGCTCCAGTGCGCCACTCTGGGATGCAGGGGTGTGGGGGTTCGTCCCAACACGCCGGGATCGGGACGTGTCCAAGTTGCTCCCAAATCGCGGACCTCTGAAAAATTAAAACGGGAGGGGCCGTCTGCAAGATTAGATTTGCTCTCCACTCGTTCTATGTAGACAGATGCTTTCAGCCTGGCTACTGTCAGCCAAAAGTCCCCGACGATGGAGGTGCTATCGACCTGGGGTGAGTAGCCGCGAACCAGATTTGCCGAAGCGCTGTCGTTGTCACAGAAGAGAAAAACTGAGCGGTTCTGCAGGCGGGTACGCCAAGTTTCAAAAGCTACCGGGGCTGCCAGAAGCTCCAGCTGGCCCATGAATGACTTGCGTTGAAGCCATTTCTCAACGAGGGTTTCCGGGACAGGCCAAGCCGTGTACCCAGAATATCCGTCGATGGGGTCATGAAGGAAGGCTCCCAATATTCGCTGCGGGACACGCTCGGGGACATCTGAGGCGTCCGTGTACAGCAGAATGGGGTTGATGTGATGGACTTTTAACTCACGGGATGGACTCGTGGAAAGGAAGCACTTCATCTGGCGTAGGGCCAGCGTGAGCTCAGCCGTCAAAGTCTCGACTGGATAGGAGGCATATTGTCTGCGACGGAGCGGTCCCGTACAACAGCGCCCCACACGTCCGAAGAGCGTGGAACATAAAAACTGGAACTTCCCGACCAGGCTACCTGCGAGGGCGGGAGAGAGCCGACCCGTACTCAAGACTTTGTCAATGGTGTCTTGGAGGAAGGCCAGGCGAGACTCCTTTGCCTGGACATGGATAATCTTTTGACTATGCAAGGACTCGGTATTAAAGCAAACTCCCAGGATGGCACATACCTCAGACGGAGGTTGTGACTTCTCCGGGTCTAGCTGGAATCCGAGAATTTGAAACGTTTCCCTGAGGCAGAAGACGGCAGACTTAATGGTTGCAGATGGTTCTACAACGAAAAAGTCGTCGAAGAAGTGGTCAGTGGTCGAAGAGAACAATCGTTGGATGACTCTCGCTATCCACTCCGCCACTCTACAGAAATTTGGCACGGCGTGGCCTGCCCCGAAAGGTTGTCCGTACATTTCATGAAGCGACACCTCTCGCTGCTCCGGGTTGTAGACAGCCGTGATTGCAAAACGTACATCTTCCGGTGAAAGTGGGATCTGTCTGTACGCGCCTTTCATATCCTCGGTAGCCATCGAGATCCGTTCAACAGATCCGGCTAACGCTCTACATAGAACGCCCACGTAGTCCACCATGACCATAGGTACTTTTTGCAAGCGATGTGCTGCTTGGTTGACTCCGGATGCAGTATGGTCGTCAATCCTCCTATATTTCTTCTGACCCCCAGTGTCCTGTCCTTGTTCCAGGCCGAAACTCGGCGTAACTTGGAGTGGGCCTGGGTACATGGACCTCGCCTGCTGCAAAGTCATGGCTGGGCCCATGGTGCCGGCTTTGACTTCCTTCTGGGTCTTTTCCCAGATGGCACAAGCCAACTCCTTGGACCCCTTTTCTGCCATGTAACGGACTCGGTCAATCATTCGTTCTGATCGCTCATTGCAACCTGTGATGAATTCATCCCATGACATGATTGGCCTAACCTCCAGCTGCTCGAAGAAAGGCGATTCATGAGCTCTGCCTGTGATCTTTAGTCCTTTCAAACATAGCCCTGGAACCTGTTTGTCTTCGACGCCCAGGAGGTCTTGGAGGCGTTCCATGAGGAGCGTGTTCACCTTAGTACCTAGCTTCTTGGCAGTCCAGGAAGCACTCCTATTAACTTGTGATTGCTCCTCTCTCAAGTCGTTCGCCCAAGTTTTTATCATGTGTAATGCATCCATCCTTCTTGAAATCAAACTCTGTACATCGACGAATTCGGCGATCGCTGAGGCATGTTCTGGCTTGAGCGATTTGAGGGAGTCAAAAGGGTGATCCAAGCCCTTTGCCAACCGCAAGTGTTCTGCTGGGTCACAAAGTCCGTCGGCGATCAGTTGCGTCCTCTTGCCGAAGCTGGGTTGACTCCCCGCTTCAACTGCATGAATCCGATAGCGCCTTTGTGGCTCGGCAGCAAGTGTGGAGTCTGCAGGAGGCTCTGAAGTCCCAGTGCGCTGTTCCTGCTCCACCCCTGTTGCATTCGGCGTAAAGATTACTGGGTTTGTCAACGTCTGAGTCTCCGAGTGTTCCACTCCCGGACGTCCCTGGGACTCGACCCTCAGCGGAGGGTCAATATTCCACTCCAGCGCAACAGCTCTGGTCAGGGGTGCGTTGGGACCGGAAAAAATTTCTATGAAACTCGACGGAGAGGTCCCTTCGGCGAATGTCAAACCCTTCGCGAAGGCTTCACAAAAGGCTTGGGGATACTCTCGTTCATCGGCCGTGGCGAAAGAGGACACGCGTCCATTGACAACTGTGGGTCTCCACGGTAAGTGTCTCTCCCCAGTACGAGAACATAAACGACTGTTTTCACAAGTAAGACCTACCCGCTCAACTAGGCCGGGAATATTGTGAATTAAAATTTGTGCCTTCCTACGTTTGCAGGGGCTAAACATGCATGCGTGATAAAAGGTGGTTAGAACCCCGGGTTCCCGCTCCAGCCGCCTCCACGTGGTCAAGTGGCGGGCCAGGGAGTTCATGGGGTTCTCGAGCGAAAAGTAGCGCCCATTTCGATGGGCTTCCAAGCACCTGTCAGCAGCAAGATTCGCCATGTCGGTGTCGAGGGACAACTTCCGTCTCTTTGCTACCGGGAGGTCCTGGACTACATCTGGTATCCCCTCAGGGAAAGACTCGCTCCTGAGGGGTTTAGGAGGGTTTGTTACTCCGGGGATAGGGTATTCCCTCGCCCGAGAAAAAGTGCAGCAGTTGGGTGCCCAGTGCTGGACTTCGTGCAACGCGAGTTCCGAATCAAGTTCGATCCGGTCACGAAACACGTCCCTGCCCCGCAACAAATCCCAAGGTCGCGCAACTCTTTTCAATCCTTTTCGGAAGAAGTTTGCCCTCACTCCAGGAACGGGAGTTACGTCCGTCCTGGGGCGGGCGAGCCCCTATGGCTTCTTGCTGCTGCCCCCCTTATCCTTCGCGGGGTCGACCTTCGACTTTGCCGACGCTGACTTCTCCGCCTTCTTCTGTTCCTTTTGGGCCTTCCTCCAACCAGGAGGGATTTCACAACGAGGCTCATGCCGCTTCTTGCAAATCATGCACAACCGGGCCTTGTTCGCGTCATCCGTGGTCTTGTCGCTCTGGTCGTCGAGGTCGCGCTTTCGGCCTCTACCGGGCTCTGCTCCGGCCGGCCCTTTCTTCTGCGATCCTTTCTCAAGCCCTTGATCCGGGAAGGACTCCGGTTGGGCTTGGAGGAGCTTCCATAGACCTTCTCCGTCTCCCAGCTCGGCATAGTGGCGGAGTCCCGCCCCCATTGAGCCTGCACCTTTTGCAATGACCTTCAGGACTTCGTTCATGATCTCCCTATCGCAGCGCCTGGCCTCGTTGATTGTCGGGGGCCTCATCCCATCTGGGACGGTTGCCCTCAAAGTGCCAATCAACTTATCCTGATACAGCACCGTATCTTGATGGAGAGCGACTTCCATCATGTGCCATGCCTTGGCCCTCAACTCGAGGACGTCTTTCAAGGTCAGGATGTCGGCAATCTTTGGGGTCTCCGGGAAGTCCTCGTCCTTCTCGTTAAGGGTCAGCTTCTTGTCGGAGATGACCACTTCCTTCTTATCTTTCGGCAACTTCCCAGCACGACGAAGCCTACTCTCCGTCTCCAT